CCCCCTATCGGGTCCGTGCCTCAGGCCACCAGGCTATCAATCTAGCTGGGCTGTGGCCTAAGCTCTCACATATACTACCTAATTAGTTTAAGTATCCTACTCTAACTTCTTCTCTAGTGGAGCTAGTGTACTAGGTAAGTTATACTCCGCCTAATTAAGCTCTAGCTATACGCTCTTAAACTTCTATCCATCCGTATGCTTCCTAAGCCTCTAGTGTATATATCTATGACTGTGGCCCTTATTAGTCACTTCTATTAGGGTCTTATCCTTATACCGCTAGTGTGTAGCGCACACCTAGTGAACCACCTTAATCGACCCCTCCCCTAGATATATCCACTTTAACGCGCCTATAAAGTACTATGTCTTAAGGCGCCTATTATTAATTATATTTTCTAGGATCACTATATAACTATTAAGTGTAATATTCTTATATAACTCACACTATAGGCTATAGAAGTTAAAGTATAAAAATAGAGTAAAGTATAGTCTTAGTAAATCCTAGTCCTTAGTATTATAGTTTATAAATAACTAAGATACTAGATTTATTATCTTAAGGTAATCTAGTACTATATAAGTTAATTACTCTATTATATTATATATATTTACTATATACTTTAAAAACTCAAGGTCACAGCATTAAGGCGCGAAAGTTTAAGTGGTACTGTCCGCCGGTACTTAACAACCACGTTAATATTATCGATGCTAGGACGTTTCGCTATAAGCAGGAAATTAACGTCGTTGGCATGATTAGCGGCGTAGCTTTTGCCAACGACGGCCAAGACAACGTGCTGTGCTGCGAGACGCACCGTGGTGGTCTGATGCAGCTTCAGCGCTGCCAGGGCCGACACCCCTTTATGCGTAGCTATGACGAGGGATGGCTAGTGAACAGTCGTGGCTCCCAGACACGGACATGACGCCCGCTATGCATGAAATTCCGTCGCTCTTTTAGCATTCTATGAGAATAACATCTCTATGTTGCTTCCACCGCCGCCCACAGCGGCGGAGCCACATCTTCAAACAGTGGCCGAAACGGATCTCATGTGAGGAGACCTCAACACCAATCCAGATGTACGTTATTCATAGCTAGATGAATTCAATAAACATCCGCCATTTAAGATTAGCCAAATTCGGTGATAACTATCACTAAAATAGAAGCCTTGCGCTTCCGACACTCCTTGAAACCTGGTTATTATTTTGTGTATTGTTTGCCAACTAAAACTTGAGTCTGACGTAATATGCGGGTGTAGCAGCCGAGACCCACTGCTTGTCTTGTCACCCGATACGAGTCGGTGACGGGCTTACACCACTACACAAAGTTTGTCCAGTGCTTCAGTGCATTGTCGCAGGCCTGCCGCCATGCCTCCAAACCGCCAAACCAGATTTGCGGTTCGCGCGTCTTGCCGGGGACATTGGCTCCCACCCACCAGCTCTGGCAGTGTCGCGCGAGCAACCTCTCCCAGACCTCCCGGGTCTTCACGCGCCAGTCCTGAGCCGCAACGTCCGTCGTCTCAATCTCTGCTCTGCCAGCGGCTTTGGCCCGTTCCAGCAGTCGAACCAGGAACTCAGCCTGCAGCTCGAGAAACGGCGGCCCGTTGGCGAGCGACGTCGGCGCCTGTGGCCCATAGAAGATGAAGGCGTTAGGCATGTCCGGTACCATCATGCCCAGATACGTGAAGATGCCGTTGTGCCACTTGTCCTGCAATAGCACGCCGTGTCGATCGCGGATATTCATGTCGTACAAGGCGCCCGTCACCGCGTCATAGCCGGTAGCAGAGATTATAACGTCGAGCTCATGCAGCGTTTGTTTCTGGTGGTCGTCGGCGGTAGTGGTAATGATGCCGTTCTCGGCGAACTCGGCAATTGGGCAAGTCTTGAGGCTCACAAGCCGCACGTTAGGGCGGTCAATCATCTCGTAGTAGTCCTGCTCAAGAGTCGGGCGCAGGGTGAAGAGGAAAACGTCGAGGTCCAGCGGAGCAATGATGTTCTTTTTGGCCTCGTCCGTCATGCGTGCACGGTTCTTCTCGGCTAGAAACCGGAACGCGGCCCTGTTTGCCTGCTCGTTACTAGGGATATCCGCATAGTTGAGGCCGGATAGGAAGGCGAAGCCCTTGCGCCGCCAGAGCGTCTCCCACAGCGCGCGTCTCTGCTCGGGTGTATGCTTATCGTAGAGGATACCAGGGCTGGCGTTCCAATGGTAGCCTGTTGTGCTAGTATACTTGGCGTATTGAAAGACGGCGTCGAGATAGCTCTTTTCGCGGTCCGAGTCGTCGACAGGGATGCGGCGCTGGCCCATGGGTAGGCAGTGTGGCGGCGTGCGCACAAAGACGGTCAGCTCGCACTCCGTCTTGGCCAGCTCCTGCACAATCTGAACGCCAGAGGCACCTTGACCGATGATGCCTACCTTCTTGCCGGTAAGATCAATGTGGTCAGGCCATGCCTTGGGGTGGATGACTTGGCCCTTGAAGACTGACTTATTCTTGAACTCGGGCACAAAGGCCTTGTTGCTGGAACCTGTCGCAAAGACGGCGAAGCGAGATTGGGCTGTTAAACCCTGTTCCGTCTTGAACACCCATTTCTTTTTCTTCTCATCAAATTTGGTGTCAATCACTTTCTGGTTGAAGAGGGTATCTTTGCGCAGGTCAAGTTCGGTCGACATGTGCAAAAAGTACTTGCGCATCTCCATGCTCGAGGGATACCTTTCGGAAAAGTTGAATGCATCACGGACGGCTGGGGTGCTAAACTGATAGGTTGGTGTCTCAGAATCCACACGCGCGCCGGGATATCTGTTGATATGCCAAACACCGCCAAAGTCTTCGCATGCATCGAGAATTTTGGCCGAGTAGCCATGCTCGCGCAGAGTGTGCAACGCATAGCAGCCGCCAAAGCCTGCGCCGACGATGATAACGTCCTGCTCTGGAACAGAGACCAGGTTGGAGATAGTCATGATAAGTTGCTATTGAATGTTTGTCTTGATTTTGGGGATGAATGAAATGGATGATTGCCAGCTTTGCAGCATGCCGGTGGTTCTAGATATATGTTGTCGGATGTCAATGGAAACTACAGATCCGCCCGTCGTCCGAGGCTGTGTCTGTTTGACTAAACGAAAAGAAAAGACTTGCGAACAATACCCGAGTAGCCATAACAGAGCATCAGAACGCGTGGCTCGCGCGCGATAGCAGTGTGTTACCTCGGGCGGAAATCCGCAAGTTAAGCGCACTTCGAGGGATGCTACGCCCAAAGAAGTTGAACACGGAGTCGGTTCCAGTCAAACACCTGTCGAACCCTGATCTAGGCTCATTTCAATCTTGACGTATCGAACTGTTTCAAGGTGTGGTGAAGAGCCATTGTTGGTCTCATGCCCTGGATGTGATGCCGCGGGATGCACGGGATGCCCGGGATGCACGGGATCTATAGTATCTTCGCGTTTTCATGCGAAGAGCCGGCACATATCATTTCCAGATCTAGGACTTTCTGGCTTCGGATTCATCGGCAACCTCCGCTCTACCGGAGTACTAGCAAGCTTATATGTCCGCCGAAGATACCGAGGCGGGCCGGTCTGCCAACAGAAACTGCTCATGGACGGTGGACGATTGAACGTCGCATCAAGGGGGCCGCAGACTGACACTTTAAGGACATATATAAGAGCATGTCATTGTTTTTGACACGAGTCTCTTTGATCTCTTACACACACATTTATCCAGCAACCTTCTTCGATCGGACAACTACACTATGGGTTTGACCCTTGATGCGGAATTTGCTTCGGCTATTGCCCCGATCCGGGCGAGTTTCGCCAACCTTCCAAAAGCAGCAATCCATGATGTTCAGGCTCGGAGGCACAACTTGGCCGTTCTCGCCGACAACGGCTTGCCTCCTCCTATCCCCGCAGGCGTCAAGCAAGACATGCTGTCCGTCACGGCTAAAGATGGCTACAATATCCCCCTCTGGCAAATTGCTCGCAAGTTCGATACCAGTCCAGTAGAAAAGAACCCCAAGCCGGCAGTTCTATATATGCACGGCGGTGGTTTCATCGCTCTCGACGTTGAATCGTCTGCAAGGGAGCTATATGCGCTCGTCCTTGCATCCGGTGTCACCATCTACGCTGTTGACTACCGGCTCGCCCCCGAACATCAATACCCGACTCCTCTGGAGGACTGCTGGGCCTGTCTGCAGTACATTCACGACAACGCCGCAGCGCTATGCGTAGATTTAGCCTGCATTGCCGTTATGGGCGACAGCGCAGGTGGGAATCTCGCCGCCGGTGTCACTCTGCTGGCGCGCGACCGCGGGCTCATGCCGCCAATTGCGCGTCAGATTCTAGTTTACCCCATGCTTGACGATAGGAACAAAGAGACCATGAACCCCGGGGCGCTGTTGCTGTGGAATGAAGAAGACAATCTGACGGGATGGACGGCATATCTAGGCGCCCACGTTGGCGGGGACAAGGTGCCTATCTACGCCGCACCGGGACGACTGACAGATGCCACCGGCCTGCCACCGCTATATCTGTATGTTGGACAGCTTGATCTGTTTGCCAAGGAGAATGTGCACTATGTGTCGCTTTTTATTGAGGCGGGCATTGATGCCGAGCTGCATCTGATCCCTGGCCTACCGCATGGCTTCAATGGACTGGCGAAAGATCACGCGGCCACGAAGGACCTATTTGACCATAGAGTCAAATACCTAAAAAGCTTGGCCCACAACTAATTGCTATGTAAGATGTGAGGAGTCAAAAACTCAACTCGAATAGTTGCTTCGAATATCTTTAGTTAAAGTTTATTAGAGTTGGTTAATACCAACGGCAGCAATATTACCGCGTACTCCACCCTCGAGGCATAACTAGTGAGCCAACATTGGCGTCCTGCTAACAATCCCGCGTCCCCCTTCCCAATGATCAGTGATGAATTTCAGTGGCCTACTTGCCTAGCCATAGCGCCTCTTGTGCCGCGCAGTCTGCTACCGCAGCCTTTCAGACGTCACGCATGCCCCGTCTTAGAGAAGAGACGTAGTAGGTTGCCTTACATACTAACAAGTTACGGCCGGCATTAACTCTTCTCCTCCCTCGAAGTTTACGCTTCAGCCTTATAAGCAATAATGGCCTAGTAGGAGGTCGTTCTATAGGCCTATAATAATTAGCTATGTATAGCTCGCAAGTATAAAGAATAACTACTATAGTGTCTTATTAGCTTAACTAATAATTCTACTTAGTAGTAGGAACTAAAAGGTAGATTTTCTATACCTAGTATATCTATAGTAGTAAATAGTATTACTATTCTAAAGAGAGGCTATCTAAAGAATACTCTAGCTATAGGACCTCTTTATCCTACTATAGTATTATAATTAAGAGAAAAATACTATTAAGTAGTATAACTTCTAAAACCTAAGCCTCCTTTAGAGTAGGACTAAATAACTTAATAATAGACTAGTACTAATAAAAGTAATAAAGTTATTATTTTTATAGTAAACTTGTCAGGGTCCTATTAGGGCACCTATTAGAGCCCCTACGTTGTATGTGTTAGGTGCGTATGAGCACCTATATAACAGCGAGCTGCC